TAATTACAAAAGCTGCACAGACTTTAAAGACAGCCAGCCACAAACACATACAAAAACCAAAAAATAATATAAAATATATAAAAAAAAAAAAAATAAAGGTAATAACAAAAAACCAACCATGAGCTGTGACAGCGCATCACGTGCTCTCCAAGCTCATCTTCATTTTGCTTCTTTTTTCCGATGGCATTTTATGTTTTTAATATTTTTTTGATTTCAAGCCGCGACGTCAGTAGCAGGAACCTATAGAAAAACGAATAAGCGGAGTCTAGTCGACAGAGCCCGACTAAAAGATACCCTGAACACTGCGAAAAGCTGATACTACAAGCATTCTACCCATGCACATAAGCGGAAGCTGCGCTTATTGAGTTTACTATGGGAAATTAATTGTTGATTGGCTTTTTTTCTGAATGCTGATTTTTGATGTAATTTTAAAGTAAATATTTTATCTTTAGATTTTGTGGTTTTCAAGTTACAAACAAGACAAATCAAATGATCGATTATTATCGACAATAAGAAAATGGTATGGGTTATCGAAAAAAATAATTTCAATCGCTAAGTTCATGCCGAATGACCAACAGACAGCCAGACATGGCTAGATTATCTTGTCTTTCTGATCAAAAATATATAAACTCCATGATGTCACGCCTCCTGTTACATACATCTTCACGAGACCATTATACCCCGCATTGACATTTCCACTGTGCTGAGGGTACAAACAAAAAGCAACCATGAGTTGTGACAGCGCATCACGTGCTCTCGAAGCTAGACTTCATTTTGTTTTTTTTTTGTAGATTGCGTTTTTTTAGTTTTATAATATTTATTCGTTTCAAGCCGCGACATTAGTAGCAGGAACCTAAGCCAAAAAAGAAAAAATAAAATCAAAAGAAGCAGCAGCCACAAAAGCCGTTTGTTTGCTTTTTGTCATTGTTTATGGCATTTATTGGCTTCATGTGACCAACTCGCAACTGGCAACTCGTTTGCATTTTTTTTAAGCAATTTATTTTCTATTACCAAATTGATCTTTTAAAGTAAATATTAAACATGCACTGAAATGTCTCAAATTAGCTGAAGCACTTGCTAATTATCAATGCGGATGTGTAGTGTCCGCATTTGGGCTCAGAGCTCTCACTAATCGTATTATCAACTTTATTTCGAAACCTCAAGACTCAAAAGTTCGATTTCATTTGCAGAAACTTTTTATAAACAGCACTCAAAATCTTTTTTTATGACGATGGCATTTTATGTAAATTTTCTCAGAATAGTTAAGCCGGTTCGTGGGCTGGCGCTAAAAGATTATATAATTTGAACTTGATGATGCTTCTTTTTTTATAACCTGAACACATTGGCAACTCGGGGTATATAGCTTTTGTTATAAGCTTCATGTTAAGGCTTCATGAGCTTCATGAAATATATATATTTGTGATCATTACGAGCAGCTGAGCACAACTGATCTAAGTAAGCCAAGGATTTGTGCTATGTGTTGTTTGTTATATATGAGAAGAAAAAAGCGTGGAATGGTATGAATGATGTAATATAAATGATATCACCTAGTCAAGCATTCTCGAGCACTTTTACCTGTAAGCAAAGGAGGTAGTCAATATTGTTCTCAGGCGTGTGTAATTGGGTTAGAAGGAGGCATATTCATATGGCATATGTAGGGAAAGTAAATAGGCATATCATACAATTGATAAGAGGCTATTTAGCCTGCCTATCTAGCTGTCTGGTTGTCTTACTTTATATCACTTGCATTGAACATAGATGTAAGGCAGTAAATTGAGGGCAAAAAATTTGTTTCTTTTATTTATGTTAGTAATTCTTCTTTTTAAGCCCCGCTCCTAAAATATAATAAATTTCATAAAATTTTCCATTTCTTTTATAGAATTGGAAAGTTGAGAGCAGACCAAGCAGCAAGGTATTTAGTAGCTCTCCCTCTCTTTCTCTCCCCCTCTCTCAAATTTGGAAACAAATAAGGAAACCAATTTCCACAATTAGTTACAGGGTATTCCATTCAGGGCTTGCTTAATTTCTTTATCTTCAGCTTTTCCATTGGCAACATAGTTCGCAGCTATAAGGTGAACCCTTAAGAATGAACATTTTGGAGGCTCAAGCATTCGCGTGCCTGGCACAGAGACCATCATTCAAACGCTCTCGGAACTACGTCTGTGACACGTTGTCTGTTCACAGGTCCGGTTTCTGTTCATTACGTAAACATTCAAATACCATTTAAATGATATTTGAAGCACGCACACACACACACATGCACATGTACATAGGTGATTAAATACCGTTAACTGCGGGAAAAAAATAAAGTCCAACACAACAAAAGGTTGACTCCGTAAAATCAGTCAAGTGTTGAATATTGAATATTTGCTTTTCAAGTTTGGCGCTGTTTTGAGTTATTATGTCAAACTATTTGCCAGCTCTTGTTGCGGAGCGGGGGATCAGCTAAATATACATATATTTAATTAAGTGTCCAATTTATAATCGGATACGTAAAAGCCATTTAAACAATAAAGGAAATGCTGAAGATGCGACAAACTTATGCGAACAGTCTCTTTCGGTTTGTCACTCTGCTGAACCGGTAAGGGCACCCAGACACAGCCGACAACAGCAACAAAGACAATGGAGTCGCACTTGAACCTTCACAAGGTGATCGCAGAGAAAGTAAATGAGATACACATGACATAAACCCAAAATCAAAGCGATTTTTTGTGCTTTGTGAATGGAGCTGGGCGCATGGCATCCAAACAGTAGCCGGTAGAATCTGTTATATGTGGCATGCCTCGTTTGATTAGCTGTTGAAAGACTCAAGAAACAATATGTATATTCAGTACTGTTTTAAAAAATTAATGATTGATGGATAAATTGCCAAAAAAAAGAAACAACAACAATAATAAAAGATAATGCAGAGAAAGTCTCGTACCAAGCGGCGACTGTTACTCAGAGAGCATCGTGTGGCTAATGTTAAAGGCAATAGCTTGAAGATCCACAGTAAATATATATATATTCATATATTATATATATCATATATATATTTAAGCTTATGTGAAAAAGAAAAACCTTAAGCACGCTTTCAAGGACCCGAGCTCAGATTTATGATTGCACGGGAAACAAACAAGTTCAATGATGAAATCAAACGATAACAAAATGAAATTGAATTGTGAGCTTCGAATTGATGTTAATGACAAACTAAAAGATGGTGGCAATTAACTTGGCCAAAATCAAGTCATTTGAATATGGCCAATAGAAAATGTCTCAACTAATCAAAAACTGCAGTTATGCAACTAACGGCAGTACAGTGAAAGCCAGCTTATTTCAATATTTATGCTATACTTATATTCCCACTGGCAACTCCTTTTATTGCAGAAGTTTTAATAGTTGAAATACCTAATTATGTAATATTCAGCGCGAAGTTATAGTTGTAGATTGCACATCTTTTGATTGAGTTGCACTCATAGAAAGTTCGAAGTCTGCAAATCTAAAACTCAATCTTAGTGAAATCGTTATGCACAGTTTTAATTAAATTAAAATTATCTAAAATTTGTTAACATTTTAGGAACTAATTTTTAATGCTCGTGGAAAGACCTGATCTACACAAGTTGATAACGATGGTGCAACGTTCAAAGTTTAGCCTGCATTTGAGCAAGTTAATCTGAAATTAGGCTCGATGGGAGCCCTAGAAAAATTTTTAAAAATAATTTAGAAACCCCTTTATCTATTTTCTTGTAAAAATTGAAGAAAATCGTTGAATTCCAGTTGTTAAGAAACAAAGTTCTGTAACTTATTAAAATGTCTTCTAATTTTACAGATAATAAAATTAAAAATTAATAAAAATTTAATAATGCTTGAATATCAGTTGAATGCCATATTCTAATTGAGTCTTGCAAGATATATTTTTTCAGTGGACTTCGTTTGATCAAGATAAAGTCATTCAATGCTTGTAAAGGTAAGATAACGTGTTGCAAAGTGAAATCAATAATAGATTACAGAAGAGTATACGTTTCTGTTTATAAATAAACTATCTCAGTTAGATCTTATGTTACGGCTATATATTATAGTATTATTATCTCGTGCTCTCTGCATAGCCCAGCAACCTAGTCAGCCCTTATTTGCATATTTTGTCTAGGCAAATGCTTTGCTGTCTCATTTGCAGCATAGCCAAACAGTTTCCATATGCTCCGTGTGTGACAATGAGCTACAGACTTGAGTTGGCAAAAACAACAAAAATAGAGGAAAAAAGAACGTGCAATGCGAGGGCGTTTTATGAGCATCGAGGCTGGAGTTGTCTGTTAGTTCGTGATTGTTGCCAGCCACAGAGAACACAATTTGAAAAAAACACAGTGCGCACAATATATGCCATGTGATTTGGATTTATTTTCGTTAAGTTTTTCCATTTGCCTATTTCGATTTAATTAATTGGGACATAAATTATTCATAGAAATAGAAAAATAAAATTGTATATATAGATAATGCTGGGCAACAGCTATGCCACTTACCTTTAACTGACGCCGGCATCTCTGTGTGTGTGTGAGTGAGAACTTTAAGCGATTGCACAAGTACAGTGAATAATCGTTAAGATATACCACTTCACTGGAATATATTAGCATTGATTTTTTAACCAATACATTTAAAACGCTTTATCTGTAAATAATAATTGTAAAAGTTGATTGTATTGATTATTATTATATAAATTGAGTATTTAAAATGTTATATTGTTTACTTGTTGCCGCGTAAAAGTATGCTACAGTTCTTATTATATTTCTTTCGGCGTCGTTTTCGGCGTTATTCGTGCCTAAGAGTAGGCAACACATTGAACTCACAATCACTTATAAAGTATAAGACGCCTAATTAAGTTCGCAAAGTTACTTATACGAAGAGCATATTTCCTTTAAATGCCATGGGCTACTCTTATAAAGATAATTTCACTCGTTTTTCACTGTTTTGGATATGCTTAGATCTGTATCTTCTATCGCACTCTTATAATTTGCTGTACGTATAAATTTAGAGGGATTTATAGTAATTTATTTTTTGTATTTTTGCATTTAAGTTGTGAAAACCTGAATTGGTTTGATTGTGTTGACAGGTGTGTAAATAAATGTAAATATTACATATTGAGGGGGACTAGTATAAGCTGCCCATTTCTGTTGTACCTTTAGCCTCTTTCGCAAAGAGGGAAATTCGTGATTTCTATAATTATATCACCGTACATTGGATGTGACTAAAAGACATATTCTACAACTATTTCTTAAAAATTTCACAGACGTTTCTTGGTCTCCTGCTTCTGCGCTGTCGCCGCTGCCGCCGCCCACCAATTGTACAGCTTGCGCAGCATGCGCCAGGGCAGCCACACGGCCAGCCACAAGGCGAGCAGCGCGCAGCCAATCACATCGAGCAACAGATACTGATGGAGCGGCATATGGGCACCCTGTGATTTCAAGTGCCCAGCACCGCGATGCCTAATGACGTACTCAATCCAGTAGCTGGCCTCCTCCAGAGGATGCATCGGATTGTCACGGAATCGCTTGGACACTTCCAACGCGCTTTGCTTGTAAGCGGGCTCATAGATCAGCATCTCGATGTTGCTCACCAGATCCTCGACATTCATCTTCGAGAAGACCAGCGAACGCGCATAGCCCTCCCGCACGGACTTGATCGTATTCCTGTGCTGATCGCCGTACAGGGGAATACACAGCATGGGCACGCCCCAATAGATGCCCTCCTGGGTGCCAAAGATGCCGCCGTGCGAGATGAACAGCTTGACATTCGGATGTGCCAGAATGTCGTTCTGTGGCATCCACTTGCGTATCATCACATTTGGCGGCAATTGGCCAATCGACGCATTCTCGTATTTCCACAGCACCTGCTGCTTCAGCCTGCCAAAGGCTTGGAGCAACTGTTCTGTCTTCTCGGGCGGCATATCCGTGCTCTTCATATACGAGCCCAAGCTGAAGTAGACCACGCCGTGCGTGGCATTATCTATAAAGCTTTGTATATCCGCCGGTAGCTTCTGGGCGGGCCGTATATGCGCTCCACCCACATTGATGAGCCCTGGCATACTGGGGCGTGGCAGGTCGACGCTGCGATGACTGTTGATCAGCATCAGGGAAATGTTGCGCTCCAAGTCGAGCACATTAGGCAAGGCACCTGAAAGTGTAAGCATTTGTAGAGTAACTTTGGATTAAGGCTAAGATTTCGTCACCCACCTTCGATGGCAGATCCAAAGTACTTCTCGGCCAGCTGCTGCATGAGTGGCATGTAGTGCCAACGCCTAATAACGGCATCATACAAAGACAGATACGCATTGTAGGCACGTTGGCTAAACGTCATCTTGTCCGTGTGCGAAAGCAGCAAATGGGGTATAACCGACCAGGGCGTCAGTATGCCCATTGCATGATCCATGTTGTCCGCATAGCCCATGGTGCCGATTGTGACCACGGGACACTTGAACTTGTGGCCAAACATCAGGAACGCTTCGTGAAAGAACTGCTCCAATATGACCAGGTCGAAGTGCTCGTCCTGGCTGTCGATAAGTCGCCTCACCTGTGCATCCTGCAGAGCATGTTCCGTGGTCAATTCACCGATTTTCCACCACAGTTGCAGATTCTGAAAGTCGCTGGCAAAGCGCATGGTGAATATGTTCTTCTTGGGAACTGCCAAAATATTAAAATTATATAAAGATTAAGACAAAGTCTCGCTTAAAGCTAACTCCATATGCATTGGCCCTTAGTACTCACAGTGCTTGGGTATATCAAAGCTGGGATTGAGTATGATCTCAGTGAGATTCTCGTGCGGCTTCTTTGTGGGATGATTGTTGAGGCTGGTCACGTGATGTCCGCGCTCCAACAGATCCCGCTGAAAGTGCTCCAGCCACATCCAGTGACTGGGCGCTGGGAAGGGACCCATAAACAGTATTCGATAGGCGTCAGCATCGAGTCCGCAGATGGTTAGCACTACGCAGCAGAGCACAGATCTCAGCAGCTGCATCTGAAATATCAATTAAAATGCCAGTTATGAGTGCCAGATTAAAATACATATATCCAGTTCCATTCGTTGCACTTTATTTAACTCTGATTTGCATAAACGCGGCAACATTTGCGATTAATGTTGTTTGATTACGCAAAATGATAAACATGTTGCTTGTGTTTCCTTATTACCTGCATATTAAATATTTGTAATACACTGTCTAGGGTATTTAAATGAAGCAGGAAACATGGCATGCTTCGACTCTGGTTAATATTCCTTCTATGCATATGAACAACAATTTTTTTTCTAGTTCGGCAACAAGGGGAAAGTTTCCAATTATTTATATATAAATATATAAATAATTTTATAACAATTGTTTCATGTAACATTTTATTCCATATTCATAAGATCAATAAAATCAATCAGAGCGTTTAAATCAATCAACTATTGAAATTGGTTTTATCATTTGATGAGTATAAAATTTAATGCTAATAAAAGCAGTCATAATATAACGAAAATCAGTAAAATAATTTAAATATATCTCATTCATTCTGTTATACTCTGCTTTTTCATTAAATATAAGATTTTATTTAATCATCTCATTCTCTTGTTATTTACCCCCTAATATTTATTTATATATTTGTTGTATAATTTGATAGTCAAAGAGTATTTCAATATTCGGCACAATTTCAACATTTTATTTTCAATTCTTGAGCAACTATTGGATTACATTGTTTGATTGAAATGCAACAACTGAATTTCATCATTATAAAATTATTCATTTAATTTATGAATTGCGCATAAAAAGTAGAACAGGCGGGACTGCATTCTTATTGGACTTATATGGCTAGACTCTAATTGGTTACCATTTTCCTAAAGACAGATTAACAATTAATTGTAGTTATTATAAATATTTTAGCTACTCCACTGTAGAAGTCTGTAAGAAACCAAATTTACTTTATATTTGCCTCATTAAAAGATAAAACGAAATTCTCATCGAATAAATATTTAAATTAGAAACGTTTTGCTAATTCAATTGCCTGTGTTCTAAAAAGTAAAACAAACAAATAAATAAATGACAACGTTCAACGGCATTGAGTGTCTCAAAAATGCGCAATATACACACGCACATAAATTTATATATTATATATTCTAGAGTATATATACTATGTTCGTGTGCTATACCGATGTATATCGTGTCGTTTGAACAATTTCGAGTCTGGCGTTGCGAATTATATTAATTTCCTCATATCAGACTCATGCACGTTTGTTTTACTGTTATATCTAATCACAATTTTTTTTTATTTACTGGCTTGCCTAAGCACCTGCTCAGGTGTAACTCTCACAGCGCACCAAGGTTTCGTGCTCTATTCCCAGTTGCAACTTCACACACAAATGAATTTGGTTTTAAGGTCTCGCGCTTAATTGACTAATTTACGAACAATTTGTTGCAGCTGTAAAAATTTAAAAAAAAAATCCAGTAATAATTATGGTCTATTATTAATGTTAATTATGTAAAAAAGCTAAAGTGATTTTTTTTTTAGGAAACTTAAACTTTTCTATACTCCAACAATAAAAACCATGGTTAAAAATATTGGCTAAGTTTTATATTGATTTCGATTTGATTGTTTTCTTAATTAGAAATGAAATTTTTGTTTTTTTTTTCAAAAACTTTAGCTCTGTGTTTGAATTTTTTATATTTTATTTAGGCACAAAAAAGTCATATATTTTATCTGTTGAAATTTGAGAGTTAAAAGACTTTTTAATTTTACATCAAAAAATGTCTTCTTGCATAACTCTAAAAATGGTTTAATTTGAAAATTCTCCTTAGCCTTGTCTTTGATTATTAAATATATTTAAAAACTTTTTAATCACCTTAGTCTTTGGTTAGTTGAACACTATTTTTAATTTAAATTCAATTAAAAAATCACGATTGCAAAGTTTTGATTTGAATACAGTCGCTCGCGGCGCGTCCGCTGCTTGGCAAGTGGCGGTTATCACTGACCGAACCAAATTCAGGCACCTTTGGTTTTGCTGCTTAATCAGCGCTGCCAGCGCTATCAGCGCAGCCAGCGACAGCGTCGACTACAAAGCAAAGTCAAAACCACACAATAAATTACTTTTTTCATTTGCTTTGTTTTACTTTGACGGGCCAAAGCCATGTGAATGCAGCCCTGGCGCACGATGACGTGCATTTGTGGCTGTTGTTGTTGCTGTCGTTTGTATTTGCTTCTGCTTTGTGTTTCGTTATTTGTGTGTAAGTATGTAGCTGTATAAATATTTGTATTAATGTTGCAATTGCCGCGTGCGTTGCCAAATAATTGCAGTAGAACAGATCCGAACAGTTCGACTGATCAATTGATGTATTGATCGATTCAACTGTCTGCCGCATGTGACTGATGCACGTGTTAAAAATTGATTTTGCAGTTGAATTCAAACACAAAAATAACGTAAATATCGAAATGTAATATTGCTAACCAGTTATTGGCTCTGCTTTGAACTTTCGAATCACGATCATTTGCCAAAATAATATATATATATACGCATATATAATCGATATAATAGACGGAATACTGGTGTACACACATAACAGACAAAAGAATACATTTCGCAGCTCATTGAGTTCCACAGCCAGGTCGATATATGCATAGATTGTGGCTGTTCTTATCAGTGAAATAACTTAAGCTAGACACAAAAGCATTAAGTGAATATATTTAATTACGCTTTAATGTAAAAGTTTTATTTTTATATAAAATTGTAATTTATTAAAAGAGTTTATGTTAAGACTTGATTTTCACATGTAACTCAGTCCAAACAGGTTTGACTCCGCTATTTACAGATGGGAAAGTATAAGACTTTACCGCCCTTATATGAAAATTCCCTTATATATCTTATATATCTTAAATTTTTAAAATTTTTGAATTAAAATTTGTCACTGCTAATGACATCATTTAATCAAAGTAAAAGTTCTTAAAAGTTCAAAATGATTCATTATTTGTATAACTTATTCAATGAACTTTGAATATATTATACAAAAATATATATATTATATAAACGAATATATTATACAAGCAGTGACCCTTACAAATTTAATGCTCTCACATTTGACTGAGTTGCAATAATTAAAGGTGGCTCAATATTAGACATGCTCTACAACTTTAAATAAATTGAAATGATTAAATACCTGAAACATGGCACTGATTAATGTTGAAAGTAGAGCTTAAATCATGTCGAAAGAGATCGCGTTCAAGGACAACAAAAACCTGTTTAGCGGGAAGTAAATGGGGGCATTAAATATTAGGTGTTTTATAAGCAAAATAAATTATAATTAAAAAATTTAAACAAAAATAAATGAAGAAAGCCTCGTCAGAACTAAAAAAATCAGCTACATTTTGTAGTCGCAGGGAAAACCTGTTTCGTTTGACGGGATTTTCCTCGCGAAAAGTGCAAGTATTTCCTTTTCAATGGAAATCACTAAAATTAAAACAATTGAATTGAAACAATTGAAAACTCGTGAGCTATTCATAAATAAATCAATTAATTATTGCTTAAACAGAATTTAAGCCGGACTATTCCTGGCTTAGCTCGCGACATTTTTCACCGCAAGCGAATTGCAGTCTGTTGCCAGTTGATAAACGTAAAGTATTTGAAAGCGAAAAGTCAAAAATACAATAATAAATAATTAACATTGAAAACATTTAAATGCGCGAAGAAACAGAGCAGTAAAAACAGCGCCGACAACTGCTGTGTCGCCACCAAAAATGCCATAAAAAGGCACAAGTAAAACATGCAACAAATTAAAGATGAATGTGAAATAAGTGAGTAGAGCAGACTGACTTTTGAATACTCTCTCCTGTTGGATATATTAAATGCTGAATTCTTACTTAAATGATTTTTGAGTAAACTAAATTGAAAAACTTTTCATTATATATTTTCTAGCTTATATTATATAATGCTAAGAACCTATAGAATTATGGGGAATATTTTTAATAGATTTTGTTTCTGTGACCATGAAAATATATATTGGAAGAAACAAGTCTGGATAAATAATATTGATATTAATTTTTTCTTAATATATCTCTCTCTATATATCTCTCTCTCTTTCTTTTCCTCTGTATCTCCATCTCTTCCTCTGTTTTTATTCTTCTCTCTTTTGCTCTGCCTCTTTCTTTCGACATACTTCTATCAATCTCTCTATACCTCGTTATATATCTCTCTTTCTTTCTCTCTTTAATTGTTTTTATATTTTTCGATATTAGTATCTCTCTCTGTTTCCTTCCTTCTCTATTATCGTTCTCTCTTTGTCTCCCTCTATCTTTATCACTCTCTCCCTCTCTCTATCTATCTGTCTATCTCTCTGTCTATATGCCTTTTCTGTCTCACTCTCTAGCTCTATCTCTCTCTATCTCTCTATCCATCTCTTTTCTCAATTTATTCACTCTCTCTCCCCCTCGATCTCTCTCTATCTTTCTCTCCTCTCAAAGAGTTACACAGTTGATAAGCAAATAGTAATACCCTCTCGAAACCAAAACACGTAAACGCACAACAGAAGATGCCGAAACATTTCAATAAAAATTGGCACGCTTCAATGAAGCGAACAGGAAGGGAACTTCAGGAAGACCGCAGGTCATGGCGGGCATGGCGGTGCGAGACGTGGGCGATGATGGACTGCCCAGCCCGCAGCCGTACAGCCGTACAGACGGAGACCAGCCCAGTCCAGAGCTGACTCCAACTGTTCGCTGTCGGCGGAAAGTTCATTCATAAGCAGCCAAGAAACAAAATGTTGCCACGGTGCAATGAAATTGAATTGCGTGCAACGAAATGTGTCCGAGAACAACCGAGAGCAGAGGCATAAAGATACTTTGTATACATCTATGTCTGAGATAAATTGGCCTCCGAATGCCAGGAGATCTGTGATGTGTAAAAAGAGAGCATAAAGTGCACGGAAATGAATGCCTCAAGCTAACAACTCATTTCAGAGTGGAAATTCAATTGAAGAGTCAAGTCTGAGTCTCAGTGAAGATATGGAGTAATTATTACATAAAAATATATTAATTTTTATGAATATTTTACTAAGCTCCTTGAGTTCGAAGTTCGAGCTGTAAATGAGATGTGAAATCTTATTTACCTTTCTTTCCATAAATTCCATTTAATTTGAATTTAATTGTAAGATCAATTGACTTTTTTATGAAGTGCAAACTACAAGTTATAAAAAAAAATATATATACATGTATATATATAATATATTATCAATTGATGTTGGATTTCATACCACGCACCCTGCCCATATACAGCCTCTAGCCCAACCCAAATCCATTGGAGAGGGTAAAACAAAGGTCAATTTGTTAGTTTGCGCCAATTTAATGTTTACTTTGCACTTCGAGCCCATCGACCAATTTGGGCAAATCCAAACAGATACGCATTGACGTGAACCTTTGGACGAGATGCCATTTGTAACTTATTTGTTTCGATGTGTTTCCATTCGGGCATTCAACCATCCATCTATCTAACAATCAATTAAGCCAGCTCGCGTTTTCCCAGACGCGTTTTAGATAAAGGGAAACGCACCACACACGCCATACACACACGCACACCCCAACGATACACAATCCCACAATGATGACACTGCCGATTTCCACGGAAGTAAAGCCCATGGTTCACATTTGTTCTCTGGCGTTTCAAGCGGCAATTAAAAATTTCACCAAAAGTAAACGTTGCGCATGATTAGCGAACGAATTCGACAAATTAAAGCAAATACTTTTTATTTTTCTATACCCTATACTGAGTAGTTGGGGCTTTGAACAGGGTATTTTGAAACGTTGTCGTGCAGATAAAGAAGTCAATTCAGATCATAGAAGAACAAACATTAAATTTAAATTATCGTTTGCCACGTTCTCTGATTCCATAATGAAGACATGATTACGACTAGAACTTATCAAGCCCCACTCTCGATTCCAAAATACAATCGAAATCATTGTCTTTAAGAATTACAGACTTCATACTATGAATTTTATAATGAAAACTAAACATAGTAAATGGTCTACTTCGATAAGAGTTGATATATTTTGAAGATTTCGATTTAACTGGGCAAATTAAGAGCAGGGACATGAGAAGTAGAACAGATTTAGATCACGCCTTCCTCAACTGTGCTCTACTCTACTCTATTCTGCTCTACTTCATTCAAGCCTCTACTTCTCTACTCTACTATTTTCCACTCTTCTCTACTCCCTACTCTTTTCTTTACTCAAGTCTTCTCCACTTTAGGCTTATCTATTCTGCCCTACTCCGCCCAAAACTACTCTCCTTTACTCCACTCTACGCTAGTTACTCAAATCTCTGTCGCACAACTGTATAGAGGGTATTAGCTAGTCAGTCACTCTGCTGCCACTCTCATTCTCTCGTTGATAGTTTCGATCAGCGCCCGCATTGGTTGATCGCAGCATAGAACATTGTCAGCGGGTGGTCGACAGCGACAGCCGCTCGTCCAGACGTAGACGCCGACAGAGAGCGAGACTGAGACTTGGACATGTTCGTTGATAGTTTTCGTAATGGACTGTTAGAGCGGGGCGGGTGGGAGTTTGTTTTGGCAGGCCGTCGGCAAATTTGACGAACAGGCAGCTGTCAATGTGTCAATATTAATTTAATACGTCAAAAATAAAATTATGCCCAATTGAAAATGGAAAATTGAGTTATAATGGGACACATGAGACGCCTTCTAATAATAATGCTGTAACAGGGGTGGGAAATTGAAGTGGTGCAAAGGACATGAATGTGCAGCACAAACTGTGGCACTTTAAGTGTTTCACAACACTAGATAAGAGCTAGCTAAAAAATGTGTGGCTAGCCCTGACAATGAGCCCCAAAAAGGCATCTACTTTGCCCTGTTCTAAGTCTAAGCAATAACAATTTGTTAATGAGCAAATTACATGGTATTTGCGTATGAATTCCAAGTTCATTACCTATACGAATGCATAAATTACAAGCTGAGGCACACACACACACAGTTGCACTTTGGTTAC